TTACTGGAACTGTCCAAGATATCCTGGTATGGATACTCTACTAAAAGGTCATCCTAATTTTAAGGGACTTCAGTATTGGGAGTGGGCTCAGAAACCATGGCTACCACCATGAGCTCAGCTTTCAACTACCTAGAAGCCCGTCTGATTGTCCCTTGTTCTTTTGTTATGTTCCATTGCATCATCACTGAATATACCAGCAAGTCACTTGGATCACATATTATTTGAGCAGCTCTTAAAGAGTTGTTACTCTTGACAGTGACTAATTCGAATCCTCCTTGGTCTTATGACCTGATTAATTAGAAAATGCATAAATAGTGTTGACAGACAGATGACTTTACGTAGCTCATGAACTCAAATTCTCATTCTTACTAGCATTATTTTTTAAATGGACTCATTCATTTTAGCATAAGTGATAAATGAGTAATGGTTAGGAGTTGGGACAACAAATGCCAGCACAGATGTTGGTCATATGAAAATGTATTTAGTCCAATGATTCATGTCTTAAGTTTATTTCAAAGAAACTCCTCCTTGAATAAAACTATATAATACAGAATATTGATGTGAGGGGAGAAAGGCCGTCCACAAGGCTGTTGAACGAGAGTGAAAGCCACCCACTGTATTTGAAGTATGCAAAGGATCCAACATGACTCAGAGCACAACCTAAATTATAAAATAGGAATTTTACTGAATTTGTGTTTTGGAATCACTTTACTAGTAAAATAAAAACTAATTTCTTATAAATCATCTTAAGAGATTATGTAATATGCTGTAAAGAGAAAGGGCTTTGGAGTGGGTTAGCCCCAAGTTTGAAGCTTGGCTCCATTTACTAACTGTATGACCTTTACTATCCTATTCAGTCTCTCTGAGTTTCTATTTCTTCTACTGTATCATGGTACAGTAGATAAGTAACTGAAATGCATGAGGGCTTAGACTATAGCTTGCGTTCAATAAAAGTATCTACTATTGTTACTATTACTTTTAAGACTCAATTATTATTATTACTATTACAATTACTCAAAACAGGACCTCATATAGAACAAATTTATTTTCAGGGGCTATAGTACAATTCATTTATGATTTTCTCTTTTAAAATACTGGTAAATAAACCTGAGTCCTAGGAAATCTTATTTTATTACATAAATTTCCTTGGTTCAAGAGACATCACTAAGGATGATGGCAGAACTCTGTATATTGCCAATATGTATGGTGATTAGGCTATTTAATAAAAAGCAATGCTAAATGGCCTTATAATACTCAATAAATAGGCAATTTCTTTTCTGATATATGCAAAATTAATTTTGATGCAGACATTCTTCTATATACCAAGACTGATATGGAAATTTTTTTCTAACCACCCAGCTGCTACAATGTTAAACAAATTAATCTTAATCTTAAATCAGAGATGTAATAGAGAAAAGAGTGATTTAATATGCAATCTCATTACATTTGACAGGCTTATTTATAAATGATTCGCCCCACATTTTGACAAGCATAGTTAATATGTTAATTTGCTTTTAAAAAGATGATGAAAGGAAGAGACTGACGTGCTATCATTCCTCACACACTATGTTGGGGAGCACAGTAATTGATACCACAAGGTAATGCTACTAATACTGTGGCCCCTCAAAAGCACCATGATGAGATGATTACTTACTAGCTACAGATAACTTAGTCATCTTATGTTAAAAATTAATCCCTTAAAATAATCCCAAGTGACCTTCTGCTTTAGAAAACAAATGCCTCTCTAAACATATTTATGAGCTTCTACAAAGGAATATAAAGCTTATTTAGACCACGGACCACGACAGCTAGAGCAGAACTCCCCGACAGGGGGGACTACACAGATAGGCTGCTTTTCACATCTGCACTTCTCTTAATGTGGTAAGCCCTTTTTGGTTTAGAAGCTTAAAGATGACTTCTTATGCTTTGACTTTCAAAGAGTTACAGAATCCAAGAATTAAGAGAAGTTTATACACGAGACAATGTCCAATTTGATTTCTCTGCTTAAATCCTCCTTCATGGAGGGAGACAAAGGTACCAAAAACTCTCTTTCTTGATGAGTTCTCAAATCACACAGTATATTCACACATTGCCACGGTGCTGGAGACCTAGAGCAGTGAATTATAACACAGTGAGTTCCAATTTCCATCACTTGCTGCCAATGTTAATGCATATGTGTCTTCATTAATATTTTTATTGCCTGTGGCTATTTAAACAGAAAACTGGAAAATGTAACACTGTGTAGGATCATTAGTTTTTAGTTACTACCCTGCTGCCCCAGGATGGTAAATGAACTGTAAAAATAGCCTGAAACCACTGCCACCTGCCTCCCTGCTATTGTCCATGGGTTAATATTTGTACTTCTCTTTGGTGCCATGACTCAGTTATAATCCTAAATCTAGGTCTTTGAATACCCAGCATCGATGCCATTGATTATGCAAAAATCAGTGTCCTGTGAACTCTCTCTAACTGGAAAAATACATACATTTTACTTGACTTATAGGATAATAACAAAATGGCTTTTAGAAAATGTTTTGGAATGAAATCAGATGCAGAATGACAGGCATAGCACAGACATAACTCAGATTTTAGAGCTTGGAAATGAAGAGCCAATAAGTATGGGAAACTGCTTATACATAACACATTTACTATTTGTTTTTGGCAATGAATAATCTTGGCATGCAGAGAAAAGGGCATTTGGGGTCTACTATTTTGTAACTGTTTTTCTCCCTCCCACTTAAATAACAGTCTTCTTCTTATGCTTCATTATGTCTCTGTTTAAAGCAAAAGCGCCCAAGCCTTTCTCCTTAAGAGAACGAACATACACATGCACATACACGTGAAAGAAAAAAGGAGAGCAGGGAGGCACAGACCGGAAATCAAATACTACATACCAGAAACAGACATATTAGCAAGTCACAATCCATGTGGTTCTCTGTACTTTAAAGAGCAATTTTAAAGATTTGGGAAAAATTAGCCACTAGTGTATAAAAAACAGCTTCTCCCGATTATGAGCGTAGAGTCTTAACTGAACTGCCAAGCACTAGGACAAAACTGGCTCCAAGCCACAAATATTTCCAAATTATGTTCTATTAGCAGAGTCCTTAACTGACCTCACTGAAAGACAACCTAGAATTTCCATACTCAAAAAATAGAGAAAAACACTCTACAACTCAAGAATATTAAGAAATGATTATTTGCGTAGCCAACTCTCAAGTATAAGGCAGGAAGGAGGAAGAGAATGTTAGGAAAAAGTTAGTAACTGATATCCTCATGCATTCATTGACCTTTACTTCCAAACGTTTTCTCCATTACAACTAATGACCAAAATATCTATTTTGCCCAAGCCCCTGCCTAATTGTGTAAAACTTGTCTTAAAAAAAGTTAGGAAGTGTGATGAAAAAATGGATTAGCTCAGCTCCTCAATGACAGTCATCTTTATTCTCAGTGTTTTGGAACATGCATTACAATGGTATTAGATTTATAATAAGGCATTACAAAATTTATGACAGTAGCTCTTAGGCTGTACCCAGATTCTTTTATAGCTCTATTGAGAGGTATAGATTTACACCCCATAAAAATAAATATATTCACGGGTACACAAAACATTGCATATATTTTCAGTGGTTTCACAGATTCTGAAATCCCATTCCTAGGGGGGCTGCTGGAGCCTAAATTAAGAAAATCTACACTGTGCTCTACATCACAAGGAACTTGTTTTCTCACCATAAAATGCTTGAATTAAAAACATCAGAGAAGAAGCCAGGCCTCATCGCAGCCTAATTTACTCAAAGCCAAGATTACTGAGGGCAGAGCAGTGAAGTAAGTACTGGCAGTAAGATAAACAACACAGGCTGAAGCTTTATTAAGGTCATAAACGTTATGTGACCATGTAGCTGAATTCTGTATACGGGGCATAATCATTCATGGGAGACAATTCCTGCATAAAATAGCCACGTGCTACATGAATTGTTTTACTTTGGCCACAATTGTGAGTCTAGAAAAGGGATTTTTCTATTAATAAAGGACACTCACAACAGTCACTAGTGAGTCTTTCTTGAGTGCTAAAAATAAGATTATTCCCTTATTTGAATATTTGATTTAGATCACCCTGGACTGGGAACTCATTGTAGTTTATCATTAATAATAATTATGCATTAAATCTCACCAGTCTTGGGGCCTCCTAAGACAGATTTTTAAGTTTTGCTAAACCATTGTGTGAAACTAAGACTCTATTGAAATTAAACTTATTGTGATATTTTTAAAAAGTAAGTGTCTTGGGGGGCTGGCCCCGTGGCGTAGCGGTTAAGTGTGAGTGCTCCGTTGCTGGTGGCCCAGGTTCTGATCCCGGGCGCGCACTGAGGCACCGCTTGTCAGGCCATGCTGTGGCGGCGTCCCATATAAAGTGGAGGAAGATGGGCACAGATGTTAGCCCAGGGCCAGTCTTCCTCAGCAAAAAGGGGAAAATTAGCATGGATGTTAGCTCAGGGCTGATCTTCCTCACAAAAAAAAAAAAAAAAAAGTAAGTGTCTTATTTCATTTTAAATAATTGGTACCAACAGTTTTTAGGGGTATACTGCACCAAATTTAGTGCCTAACAGTTATACCAAAATTTTCAGACCGCTTATCTGAGCTTTGTTGTAAATTTAAACATGCTCCTATTACTTCCAACCCACACTGCTATTTGGAGATATATACTTCCTTGTTATAAAACAAAGCCACAAATTAAGACCCTTAGGGAGAAAAATCACCGTACCGACAGTTTGAAAAATCTCTCTGCCCTTGTTCATCAGGAACCATTACCAGACACCATCTGCAAGGGAGTCTCTGATTAGGGAACACTCCCAATCACGTTTTTAAAAAATCCAGCAGTATTGCCACACACAAGAAAACACTCCTGTATCATTAATCTTCATTCAAACTGTTAGGATGTTTGTCTAGGCTTGACCCAGACCAAGCACTACGGATAGATTAGCTAGAATAAAGTTTCCATTTCTCACCACATGTCAAGGCAGGTGGAATATTCTGTCGAGCCCAGGAGGACATCTGGAGGTCTATACCACAAGGTAACCACTTCATTGGAGTATGTGTGGCTAGGGACAGATTTTGCTCTTGCAAGACCTGTGGGTTACATGAAACATAAAGAAGTTTAATAGGCATTAATATAACAAGGGAATTTAAATTTGAATGTTCACAGTTTTAAAAGGTCAAACATGATATTATAATACAGAATCACAAATGCAATGTCAAGATTACTAGAAAGGTTGTGGAAAGCATATTGTGGTCTACCCATTTCAAAAACATGCTCATAACCAATAAATCATATATATTTCCTAATAAAGCATCATGAATCTAATAAAATCCCAGGAGAGTAAACAAATGATTCATAAACTATTAGATATTGCACAGAAGCTTAGAAATCTAGACTTTCCAAAGAATGTTTCGTGGAACTCTAGTTCTGAGAGTTAAAGTTATTTAAAGTGTTATGAGAAAGAGTTCCAAGATTAAATAACTTTGAGAAAAAATGGTTTAAAAAGTTAAACAGATGTCCCTCCCTACTACAAGACTTCTCAGTGCCGTTAACTTTTCTAATGTATATTGCGACTCTAAAAGAAGAGTAGAAAATTTTTCTCAAAGGGTTGTTCCAACATTTCTTGTGGTTTCAGTGTTCTATCAAACACCCACTAGGAAATCTTTATTCAGGAAGCTCATGTAAAAACCATCTAAATAAGTAATTATAAAGGAATAGTTAAATATGATTAGTACATAAAGATGATGAGATAGTGTATAATAAAATGTTTTCTAAGAATTTTTAAAAACTGGGAAAATGGTCAAAATAATATGCTAAGTGATAAGTGACATGCAGTTTGACTTCACAACCATAAATACTTATGCATAGAAAAAAGAATGGCAGAAAAAATATTTGAATGTCTACAGTGGTTAGCTCTGGAATATGGGATTATCAGTTTTTTTTAATTTAATACGTTTTTCTGAGTTTTTTTCAAGTTTTCTACAATGAATAAATAATTCCTTTTAAAATTAGAATATCTGGGGCCAGCCCTGTGGTCTACTGGTTAAAGTTCCATACACTCCACTTCAGCGGCCTAGGTTTGCGGGTTTGGATCCCAGGCGCAGACCTACACCATTTGGAAGCCATGATGTGGCGGTGACCCACATACAAAAAAAAAAAAAAAAAATAGAGGAAGATTGGCACAGATGTTAGCTCAGAGCGACTCTTCCTCAGCAAAAAAATAAATCACAAAATCTATGGATGTTATTTTTTAAAAGAAAAAAGAAACTTGTATGATAGCTTTCTATCTGGGTATATTCATTAATGACAAGTGTAAAGTATTATTTATCACTGTGATACTCAAAGCACATATAACATTTTTATGGTGAATCTACCATAACATATTCGTTTTAATGTTCTAATTATTTATATTTTTATGTAGTACTTAGGAACATGACTTTTTTCCTATTTATTAAACACTTGGTATTCCCTTTACTGTATTATATGTAAATGTTAAAATTAATAGGACAGCTGATGAGACAAAGAATTTCTAATTAATTCAACTACAGTTACAGTAACAATTTCTTCTACAATGCAGTTTTTATAAAAATACAATGGCATATTATAAATTGGTTAATGTTTATAAGTATTCCATATTAAAATGCATAGTTTATACACACACACACATACATATACATACATGGTTCCCAGCTTTTCTGCACATGAATAGAATATTTTTGATAACAGATTTCCATAATAACCTCTACTTCTTTTCTCTGTAAGCTTTTATCCTGCCTCAATTCAGGCAAAATTGAACAGACAGGAGAGTCAAGATGGTAAAGTATCTCCAGAATTTAGTAATCCCATCAAAAGGTTTAGTTCTTCAAATGACTATGCTTCTATATAGACCAAAGAGCTAAGCCCAAGTCCTGAAACAGTTTCTGACTCGTTCCGTATGCTGTTGTCAAGTCAAATAGGATGCCAAAAACATTCAAGCTGGAGTCCCTTGGTTTTCCTGAGGCCCTGCTGACAGAAAGCTAGGCCAGAGGGATAAGACAATGAAAAAAATCTGAGATTTTCTTTGATAGCTCAGACTCCAAGGCTAGTTACAAAAAATTGTGATATTCCCAGTTTTAAAGGGAGAACAAGACCTCAAAATAACCTAGAAAGAGTATAAATCTAAATAATTACATGTGATTTCAAGTCAGTTATGTTCACTCTGAATATAAGTTTGTAAAACTGGTTAAATATTTCTGGAAAATATAAATAAAGAAAAGCTCTTTGTCTACATTATTTTTCTCCTTCCCACATGTTTAGATAAAGGACGGCTCAAACTCCACTCACTTGGGCCACATAACTTCCCAAATCAACAGTGAAGATGAGCTTTCAACGTGTTAAGACAGTTTCTTAAGATGGTTTGCATGTAAATGTGCCATATCGAAGAATGTTATATTTTTAAGATACAGTCTTCCGCATCGCTTGAGAAAAACTCTTCCATTATCTCAACTTGAATATAGTCAATCAAAACATTTTCTTGTGGAAAGTGTCCTGTATATTGATAAACAGAAGGTTTTAACCCTAAAAATATTTCTGTTCAGTTAAGATAAATAAATCTCAAAACTTTTCAGGGAGGGAGCAAATTATTAAAACAATGACTCAAAAAGAAAAAAAAAAAAAGTATACCTTGAAGTAGGAATATATAACCACATTTTTAATAAATATTTTTGGTAAAGATATTGCTTGTATTTATACAGTTCATGCATCAAAACACGCTTACTCATGCAAAATTTATTAAACTGCATCCTCCAGCTGAAGGAAAACTGTAGGACAGGATTAATTAGCACAGCATGTGTGAAAGCTTGCTTTCTCTGTTCCTTGTCAGTTGCTATGGTTACACTACAGGAAGAGAGCTACACTACCTTTTAAAAAGGATGAAGTTCATGGGTTATTATCAAAACTTCTTATATTAATGTTTAGTTTGAATTAAAAGTCAAAAGCAAAGTGAAATGCTAACCAGATGAGTACAGGTTATCTGCACGCTGCTGCTTTGGCTGAGCGTGTGCACGTGAAAGGGTGCGTGTTCCTGTGGGCACCTAAACTAGCTTGTGTAACAATTCAGAGTATCCAACTTTAAGATGTTACCATTTCTAACTAATAAAAGACCCTAGAGTAGAGCAAAAAAATCCTATTAAAGCCCGGTTGCCAATTATTCCAAGTTGGGCAACCTTGGTACTAGCTAGCGTAGCAGAATCTGATATTTCCAGAAGAGTTAAGAAGCTGTATAGTTAACCTATTACCCAGTGAAAGAATTCCTTTTCATATCTCTGTAAGATGGTTATCCAACACCTGCTGCCATCCTGAGCCTGGTTCTTCCCTCTGGCAGGGATACAGAATAAACCACATGACAGAGCTTCCAACATTTGCCCTAAGCAGGCAAATCAGCATCAACCAATGGAGATTCTTCAGGCCTTATCTTAATAGCTCTCTTAGTTGCCGTGGACACTGTTGACCACTCCTCTTCTTTTAAATTTACTCCTTTGACTTCTCTGATCTAGAAGAGTTAACAGGAATGACTTGGTCTCCTTCTGGGATCTTCCCCATCTGCCCCTTAACTGCTGGTTTTATCTAGGGTTATATATTCAAACCAGTGCTTTCTCAAATGTATACACACCCTGTAGGTAAGTGTGGCTAATGCCATGTTTTAACTGTCATCTGTAGGTGATTTCTCACAAGATTGTATCTCCAGCTCATACTTGTCTGTGGGCTTCAGATCTGGGTCTATCCAATTCCTCACTAGACTGGTATGAGGATGTCCTACAGGCACTCAGCATGAACCAGCCATCCGTCTCTACAGCTATCTGCATCGTTAATACAGGGAATATGCCATGAGTCCAGCAGCAGATGCATTTTACTAGTAAGCTGTTTTAGGTTCACAAAAACAGTAAAAGTTCTTTTAGCTGTACACAGATATACATTAGATTTTATATTCCATGCACATCTAACTATTCTTTAAAATTCCAATGCATCCTTTTTTGCAGGTGGTAAAATTGTTTGGGGACTTGAGTACTCTCTAACTCTATGGAGAAAATTGCTGAACCTTGGATAGAGGTTCAGGAATGATAATTCCCATGTCTCTGTTCTGACTAAGAAATTGAGAAAGAACTGGCAATACCGACTTGTTTCTTTCTAATTAAGTGGAATAATGGCAAAAGCTAGATGAAGTTGTGGAAGTCAACCAAAATACAATACAAAGGAGTATCTTTCACCATTTGTCTTTCCAAAAGATGCGTCACTGTTTTGTGTTTGTCAGTGGTTTCAATTTTATATTAGAGCAACTCCCACGCCTTTCCCTCAACATACCTCATTCCCCAAACTAAACGATCAGAAAAAGAATGTCTCCTCTTAATTAATCAGAAAATCAATATTTCTAGGAGAGGGACTCCTTTCTTCACAACTTGATTCCAAACAGACATGAAACACCTGGGTAATATTTCACCATCTGGCAGTTAAGCTAGAAAGGGAAATACTTCTCTATTCCATGAGCCAGTCCATGGAGTAAGGGTAGAGGAAGGCTTTTTCTTTCCCATTCCACAGTCCTAAGAATAGGCCAGGAATTTCTTTTTTCATATAAATTTTTAATGGAGTCCTCTCCCTCCTAGAGGATTTATATTAAGTATCCTATGATATGCTAAAGCTGTTTGAAAATTCTTTATTGCTGCTCTTAGAATGTATCAGTAAACAATCATTAAACAAAACAAAACAAAAAATATTTTCTTCTGGTGTTCTCCAGAGTTCTGGCCTTTAACCTCTTCCCTCTGCACTTGACAAGTTTTCCCTGGATGATCTTATTGAATTGCATGGCTTCATTTACTATATATGCTGTCGATCCCAAATACATATTTCGAGTATCAATCTTCCCCTAAAACTTTAGATTTCTCTGTAAAAAATATCCACTTAGATCTTCCACAGCTATCTCAATCTTAAACACTTCTCCTGTCTCCAATTCTCCAATCAATACTAGCCCCTCTGGTGTTCTATAACTCACCACTGGACATCACTTCCATCCAAATGCCAAAGCTGCAAGTCTTATTTCACTGTAGGCTCCTTCCAC